TTGTTAATCTCAACCTCTTTCTACAAAAAGAGGAACCTCTAATCAGTGCCATCAATTCATCCCTGACGAAATTCCTAAAGCTTCTTGCCTGCAAGCTCATCTCTCCTGGGATCGTTAAGGCGTCCTCATCCTTTAAGCAGCTCCTTGATGTTGAGCAATATTTGCCAGGTATGTTGCGTCTTTTTTCTTTTTCTTAATATTGTTTGACTCACTTAGAGGCCTGTGTGCAGATTAATATTTTTTTTGATTCAGATTCCTTGATCGACGTTGGCTTTGTGACAAGGACTGCACTGAACAACCTTGTCAGTTCCGGTGACATTGGCGCTGAGGATGAGAAGCGGTTCTATGAGGAGGCAAGGTCTTTCTTCATAGAAGTTTTCGAGTATGCTGTCAGCCATATGGCAGTAAATGATGAGCTTCTCGTCAGTGCTGAGATGGTGTACTTTGAGGAAAGGGAAAAGCTTGAGCCCTCCATGGTGCAGTACTTTGTACAGAGGTACAGTACTAAAGTAAAAGTACTTAAATCGACAAATGATTGTTTGGAAAAAGTCTATAAAACCCTTAATTCCAGGAGCTCAAAAAATTGTTTGAGTTAAAAATTCCCTAGGGGCCAATTGTTTGCAATGGGAATTTCCTCGTCTTCATTTTCACCTTGTAGATAAAGCTGTGCGCACTTTGCTCTGCACAGGTGGCACTGCGGCTACGGCTGTCTCAGTAAAGCAGTTATCAAGCGCTTCTCAATGACTAGTTTCCTTTGTAGGTACCCAAACCTTCTGCCGTTTACATCAGCGAAAGACCTGGAAGAACTGACTCAGAAGGTCCACGACTTTGCCACAATGGACGAAGAGGAACTTCCAAAGTCAGTCAGGGAGTTGGCCAATGCCAATGAAGGTGGCAGCCGGCTAAGACCCGACATTGTTTGGGGCCATCTGCAAGAGCTGACCACCCTGGACGGCCATAAGCGTTTCCCTCGGCTCTCCAAGATTGCTATGCTTGTCCTTACCATACCGCACTCGAATGCTGGTGAAGAAAGGGTCTTCTCTATGATAAAGAAAAATTTGACGTCTTTAAGATCCTGCTTAGATCAAGAGGAAACCCTGGGCAGCATCATGACGATTAAGATGGAGTCCCTTAACAGCCCTGGAAAAATCGAGCTTCCGCCCAATGTACTAAAAGCAGCAAAGAGCGCTACGAGGCTGTACAACAAGACCCATTCGTGATTATCAACTTTAACTGCTTAGTTAAATACACTTTTTTCGTTGGGGGATGATGTTTTCCCTTTTCGAATCGTGTGTCATTTATCACATGTACACAATATTTCTTTGTTTCCATATATCTGTCGGTGAGTGGCGAAAACAAAAAAATAAAAGGAAGAATTTACACAAGCATCCCACGTGATTTGGAATGGGAAACCACTACGCCCAAGTGAAAAAGGTCTATTATGATCGCGCTGTTGTTAGCGAAGAATATTCATTGTCGTAAGAAGGTGTGTCTGATAAACGCATTCCAGAAAGTACCGTTGAACACTGATCGATTTTGTATACAGTACAGCTATTTCAATGCACGTTTATTACGCCCAAGAGGAAAAGTATATTATGATCGTGTTATAATGATACGTAGGACCCCGTTAGTAAAAACCCTGCTTTACAGATATTGTAATGCAATATGTGGACTTTTCAACATAGATCATAACGATAGCACTAAGATGTTGAAAGAAGATGTAAAACTTTAGAATCACTGAGCAACTTAACATTTAAGATTATGAAAAATAAATGCTGTTCTAACCGAGAGACGTTGGGAACATCCGGAAGGCATTCGGGCATCGTTGAAAATGACATTCTTACAATGCAAAGATTTCTAGACGTCTCCAGATTTTTGTACCCTGGGGGTTGGCAGGTATGTATGCGTGATAGAATTCTCGAGCTCATATTCTAATGGATTAATAGAAATACGCGTGGAAGCTTGGGACAACGTGAAATGAGTGCGGGAATAGCTTTTTCAAGTTCTCCCAAACTTCTACGAAAGTTGCTACAAAGACGGAGAACATGTTTTCTATTTCGCTCATAAAATTCCTAGACGAAAAAAGAGAAAACTTGTTTACTTTGATCATCAAAACGTAAATTCTCTTCGCTCGCGCCATCATTACGTCAACAGCTCTATCCCTCCATACGGCCGGAACGCCTGAAATCGGAACTGAACAATCAGGATTCAGCAAGAGGGAAAAACTTTTCTGTTCTGACGTCAATGTAAGTTATCAGGAATAGCGTTGAAATCAGGCAACTTTTCTCACTGGAGATGGCATTAAATATTCACGAAAAGGGATTTACAATTTCCAAAACCATATGGCAAAGCCATATGAAAAATGTGAAAAAAAAAGTGAAAAATATGAGACGTTTTGTGTCTCCAAGCTTCCAATTTGGCGCCGGCATGGCACCTCACTCGCAGTTTGAGTGTTGCCAGGTAGGGTAATATTATTGTTGTGATATTTTGAACAAAATATGCTGTTCCTCGTCAAATTAATTAAACTCGGAATTCTCAAGTGAACTATTAGAAGAGGCCAAAGCAACTTTAGCATTGCCTTTGTTTTTGTTAGCTTTGAAGAAAAAGGCTACTGTCGTGTCGTTTCGGTAGGACAGCTAACTTTTGACTGCCGCTCGTACTGCGGGCGCAGCCGCCGTATGCAAGGATGTTTCTATCGTGGTAACAAAAGAAAAACGATTTTAAGCCAATCAGCGCACGTATTTTCTATGGGCTATTTTCTAAATGAGTTTAACATTGAATATAGTTTATACATCGGTAGCTCTTTTAACTCACTTTTCTAATATGTATTACAAAGTGATCGGGCCGAACCTACAAAATTGCCCAAAATTGCCTCACATTCATGCTGGGCTACAATGTAACGCAAAATGCGAAAAGTTAACCGCGGTAAACGACTATTGTGATATCCAGACTAATTCAAAACCTAGAACTCAAACTTTGTTAAGTAAAACTAAACTTTAAACTGACTGTAAGGGTGTTTAAGGTAGTGTTTTTCCTCATAGACGAAACACTCCCGAGGCTAATGTGTCCAGACGTCCCAAGTTTCATGTAATTCTGGTACGTTTAAACTTTATACTGGCATGGTCTCACAACATTCATCAATCATTATTTACATGGGCAATCATAAAATATTACACCACAAGTAAATCTACATTGTACTTCCTTTAAACTTTTCTCCATTTGTGATGTCGACAATCACAGAAAATGCCACCGGTGTTATTCAAACCCCAAGTTACAAAATAGTGTCACTTCAGGGGCGTAGCTAGGAGTTATGGGGGGAGGCGGGTCCTGGGGTGCCCGTGACCCCCCTTTTGTAAGCCTTTTTTAAGTAAACAATTTACAACAGGTGGCGAAAACGACATGACAATCTGGTGATTACCCTCATTTTGACACAGCGTGAGGCCCCCCCCCCCCTTTTAAAAAATCCTGGCTACGCCCGTGTGCACTTAATCATTATTTTACAATTTCTCAAAGCAAGCAGAACAGTGCTCTGATGTACACAATGTTAAAAGTAGCTCCCCTTCGTTCCCCGACCACTTGACCAAAACGAGAAGCTGTTTTCACTCTGTGAAATTCTAACGCAGTTGAATTCCGAAATCCCTACAAAAGTTTAATATCATGTTTTAAAAAATCTATCTGCTATGAACCTACTCCTGCACGTTTTCAAAGTAAAATATAACTGTATATAAACGGTCTCAAAGTGAAAAGCCAAACTATACACATATTCACACGTTCCGACAAAAAATTGCTTGCCTAATACCGAAGCTTTGAGATGAAGTAGGCCTTGCAGGTTCCCTTAAACTTCAAAGCAGTTTTGTAAATCATGACATAATAATATCATGATGACATGACTATTGAGAAGGAAAACTAGTCTCTGCAAAAAGTTACCCTTAAAAACGATCCGATCTTTGCTCTTTTTTTTGTTTTCTTTTTAAAACACCTAAGCTTTGAAGTAAAGTAAGTCTAATAAAGTTTTCCTTCAAATTGAAAGCCGTCTTGTGTATCATGACACATAATATGGTGACATGACTGTGTAAAAGGAAAATAATTTGTACAAAACGTTACTTGTTAGGGTAACGACGTGACGGGTAACGCGTGACAGGAGTATCTGTTTTATTATTATTTGGATAGCTAGAGTAACACTCACGTTAGCCTAAATAGCGCTCTGGTTTGACTAAACAGCGTTTCGGTAAGCCTAAAAAGTGCTACTAATTACAAATAACAAAGACTCGACCTTAGCTCTCAGTATTACTCCGTTACCCATTATGTGTTTTACTAAGAACACAAAAATTCTACTCTATCTGATAGTTCATATGTCAAGGTAGATAAAAGTACTGCTGACTCTGTCTGCCATTTATTTGTGTATTTTCCATTCCCAGGAGAGAAAGGAAAACAGTCACGTGTCAACCTGGTACCTCCATGAGAAAATAACGTCGGCTCCATATCTTGTTCAGGATGGCATTTCTGGGAAGAAAAAAGGAATGTACATTAAAAGCCTGTTTCAACAAGACTTATTGAAAGGGTGTGGTTGTATCAGTGTAAACATTAGATTAATATATGCCAAGTTTTAGGTGGCCTACTGTTGTTCAGGGGCACTGAACAAACTTTAATTTGGGTCTTTAAAGTGATCGCTTTAATAGTTTGGTTATATAATTTTATGGAAATCGGTTTAACTGAGAAAAATAGTATAAGAGTTTAAGTTGACACTGATTTTGGGATAAAATCGCAGTCAGTCAGCCATGTTACTGATATCTACGTATTTTTTGTTAAATTTCTCGAATCAGTTTACATTGCCTTACATGTATATACCCTAACCAAGTTTTAGCAGAAACAGCGTGGCGGAAGTTATAAATTATAAGTCCATCTAAATTCAGCCCTATTGCACCCTCGAACTTCTGCGAGAGGGTTGACCTCTCAATATTTCCTTATTATTGAAATCAGTGTACGAAGCTGATTGGTGATCTTGTGAACGATCAAATAGTCCAGTCGTTGAGCTCTTCCTTTCCCGCTCTGTATAGAGGTTGAACCCAGGCAGGAGAAGAGAAAGTGCAGGATTGTAAGTAGTTTGTAACAATTTAGCTTTGAAATTATGGCACGCCCATGTTCTGAGCCTTCGTAACCACACGAACAAGAACCTTTTCAATGAAGTTCTTCACCTCCGCTTGCAAAATCTTAACCGCCGCCCCAGAGATCGCCCTCGAGTTGGTCGTGTGCACAAAAACAAGCCTACGGCTTCAAATGTACGCGGACATACGAAGCCCATTGTCCTTACCGAGCAGGCCGACGCGGAGACCCACAGTTCCAATAAAGAAAGGCAGTCGGGTTTCGACTCAGCAGTCGAAGAAATACTCGAGGACTTCGTTTCACAAGTCCTCCAGCATGTGGTGTTTTCGCCAGCTCAGATGTCGGCCATTCAGGAGACCGTTTCGACCTCCGTTAACGAAGCTTTGTGGGTCTTTGACAAAAAGGAGGCTTAAAGTTGTTTTACGGACGATCTTCGCGCTCCCAATCCTAGCACCCTGATTACAGCGACCCCTCTGGGTTTGCATCGTCCTCTGGGAAAAAGCCTTGAAGACTCCGCGCCGGTACCATCGGCGGAGGATTGCCTCAACCAGAAAACCTCGCCGCCAAGCCCTTGTCTGCTTTGACTCGGCCAGTACAACAAACCCTCCGGACATTTGTTTGCATGGCTCATTTCTATCAAATCCTGGCTAGAATGCTAGAAACCTCATGAAAGTCTGCTTGGAACTTGAAAAATGATCGTAAAACGCTAAAATACTAGCGTTTCCTTTCATCTGTTTAAATCCCCTTCGATAAACTATAGTTCATTTCGCTATGAAAAAGACGAAGTGTTCGTAAATCTACGAGCGCGGACTGTATTGGTAAAACTGCATACTTACTTTGAAAGCGTTGGCGTTGACGTGAAAGCCCAACAGTTCGCGATGTACTTCTCGCCCCAAGGGTGATTGTTCAGTTTATTATCAGCTTTTTAATTTATTACCGACATCTCCAACTGATCTTTGGGTCCAAAAAGTTCGCAGCCTAGATCGGAATTTCCGCAAACAAAAGAAAAGGAATGTGCCCTTGATTTCAGCAGAGGTTTGTGGC